ACTAATAGACTCAAACACAGCTGTTATCCAACTGCAATAACACATCTGAATACTACAAAAAAATGTCCATCACGCCACTCTTGTGTTAATCTATGCACGGCCTGAAGCATGTGTGTGGGAATGTATGTGAATGTTTTACTGTTACATCTTATTAGTATTTTAAGTATTCTATCTATTTTATTTATTGAATTTTATTGTTTTATTTATATTTTGATATTGCTAGGGATGATGCAATGATCGGGGACCATTCTTCATTTCGTTGTTCTCGTGACAATGACAATAAAGTTTCTGATTCTGATTTGATCTGTGATGGGAAGGGTTTTAAAAAATGTCGTGAGTCTTATATTTATATATTATATTTATGTATTGTATTATATGTATATATATGTATATTATATATATTATATATATAATATATATAGTATATATATATTATACTACATTATAGTATATATATATATATATATATAAATAAATATACATACATATCATCCTTGCGCCATGTTACAGGGTACGTTTTTTTTCCCGGTGATGGAGGCTTTGTTCCCTGCACCTTCTGGTCGGGGAACGGGTCCTGACTGTCATCTGCACTTATGGGCCGAATGACAGTTTAGAGTACCCGGCCTTCTTGGAGTCCCTGGGTGCGGTGCTTGAGGGTGCTCCAACTAGGGAGTCTGTTGTCTTACTGGGAGACTTCATTGGGTAACGAATATGAGACCTGGAGGGGCGTGACTGGGAGGAACGGTTTACCAGATCTGAACCCCATCTGTATTCTGTTACTGGACTTCTGTGCAAACCACAGTTTGTCCATAACAAACACCATGTTCAAACATAAGGGTGAATATGTATATGAATATAATGCTGGACATACCTGGGGTGGAATGAGGGTGCGCTGGGAACACCTGGCAGATTCCCCTGTACGCGAAATCTTAGCTCTCACCTCCGGCAGAACTTCAACAGCATTCTGAGGGAAATGGGGACACTGAGTCTGAATGGACTGTGTTCAGCACCTCCATTGCTGAAGCTGCTGCACCGAGCTGCGGCCTATCATGGTGGTAACCCCCGAACCAGATGATGGACACCACAGGTGAAGGGAACTGGAAGGTGGCTCGTGTAGTGGCTTAATATAATATCTGGTGTGTGGCAAGCTGTCAGGCGACTCAGAAGGGCATAGTGGTGCTCTACCTGCATGATTCTGTTCATAACTTTTATGAAGGATGGCTTCCACTTGGGGGATCTCAGAATCTCATCTCTGCTTTTCGCAGATGATGTCGTTCTGTTGGCAAACCCAGGACACACTGGAGAGATTATGTCTCAGCTGGCCTGTGAAAGCCTCGGTGTTCCCCCGGACAAGCTGGAGGAGATGGCCGGGGAGAGCGAGGTCTGGGCTCCCTGGATGGATGGAATTAATTATTTTCTTGTTTGTTATTTCTAATTTAATGTGTCTTAAAAAATGTTTTACCAGTCTAAAGGCCATGTTCTACCCAAACAGCTCAAAAATATTTGTTTTTTTTACAACAGCGGGGGAGAAACAGGAATTCGCACATAAGATGGAAATTTAGGAGAGACAATTTTTGCCAGTAATGAGCAGGAGACGAAGATTGTTTGCGATCTGTAATTTCACATTAACGCAATCCTGCTTTAAAGGCAAGTGCGAGTGCAACACAGGCTGGTGGTAGAGTGTTGATGTCCTTTGGAGATGAACAAAACAGCAACATCAGCTCGTGTTCCAAACAAAACTGAGCAGCTGTTTGTCTCAGAGCTCAAAGGGATTATAAAACCATTATGTAAGAAGCTATGAGAGCCACATCCTTTCTGCGTTCAGTGGGTGCAAAGCACCGGCAGTTTGTCTTAAAGCAACCATAATGACAGAATCATGAAACTCACAGAAGCATGTCTTCCAGCCAGACTTCCACATGCTCTTAAGATTTTTAACTGTAGGCTCAATCCGGCCTTTGCGGCAGGACAAGCTAATGGCCTCTGTTACCTGCTATGTGTCCTCTGGCTTTATTGCAGCATAAGGGACATTCAAAGCTGTAACAGAGCTGAATGGGAGTGGGAGGACAATAAGGCTTTGTGTGCATGAGATGTTGACAGTGCTGGGACAGTTTTGCCTGTTTATCAGGGTTCAGGCAGCACATCGGCTACAGAACAAACCACTGCCATCAGCACTGAGAAGATCTGGCTCTGTGACTCCCAGCCAGACGACCCTGACAGCTCCATTTAATCTAACAGCCCACTTACAGGAGCCTTTTTTTTCTCTGAAAAGGTTTCGCAAACATTGTGATACTGCAGAGAGATGTATTGTTTGATTTTACAGCTTAGACATTTGTGACATCTACACTAAGATCTACACACATAAGGACATTTAAGAGTGCTCGCGTGCATTGTGCTACCTCTGTACCACAGAGAATAATCAGAAATGCTTCAGACAGCTAAAGATTTTACTGTTTTTACAAAGTCAATAGGACTAACTAAAACAAATGTGCAATGCATGATTATGCCTGTTTATGTGTGACTGATAGCAGACACATTTGGACCTGATTTGGGCAACTTTCTGCACTTCTAGCTCAATTACAAGCACTGGCAAGTGTCCTTTAGGCCAGACGTGGCTCAGAAATCATTAGCTGGCCCATATCACAATTTACATCCTTCGCATAAATGCTGGACTTTAAGACTCATGATGCCTTAATGTGGTCAAGTAACAGCTACATGTGGCTCGGTCATGCTGGCTATCTGGGATACATATATACGTGTGTGTGTGTGTGTGTGTGTGTGTGTGTGTGTGTGTG